TACATGAATCCTCTCTGTAATTCTCACAATAATACTCTAAAGTGGGCATTACTAGCAAGTTCACACAGAGCCCGCACACAGGCTTGGGGAGGGACAGCAGGCAGGGCTTACCAGCCTGCTGGTAAGAGTGCAGGCCCCTGCTTTGCCACGTGGGCTGCCCCCTCCAAGGTGCTGCACGCTGCAGGCCCACCTTGAGAGGGCGAGTCTCAGCACCTCCTGGCTGCAACCTAGGTCTCTAACTTCGCTCTGCAGCACAGGAACCAGGCTTGTAGAGCTGAGGCCCAGCCCCTGCTCAGTCCCACTGCACCGGCCAGGCAGCCCCCTCCCCTCGCTGAAACCCATGCAGGGTGCAAACCCGCAAATCATTAGCGTTTCCATTTACCAGGCTGGGATGGCGCCAGCTGCTGGGATTTTAGAAGGAGATAACAATTCGAATTGTAATTACTGCTGCAAGTTTTAATTCCCAAGGAAACTTCTAGTGCCTGTAATACTTCCTGGGACCCAAATAAACTGTATGCAACTCTTCAAGTTATTTTGGAGAGACGAGGAGCAGGAAGAAAGCCTGCCTGCCTTCTGGGAGGGCAAGATCACAGGCCTGTTTTAGAGAAGTTGAAGTTAGTGCTCAATTCCAAAGTTTCCCCAGATGCCTGGGTCAACAAAGCAACAACAGAAAGTTGCCTTTTGTGAAACAGTCTTTCACAATGGGAAAACCGTCCATAATAAACTGACTGCGAACTCACAGCTGTTGCAGAGGGAGGGCGCCCACTTTCCTTCCCGGATGTCTGGACAGAGAAGGGCTGAGGATGAAGGTTTTCAAGTCCCACAGACCCACCAACAGCACAGGGAGCCACCACGCTGATCTAGCCTGGCCAGGCCCCTGCTTTACAACCTCGTGCCACTGTGGGCCAGGGAGTGTGTCGGGGCCCAGGGACATGCTCTGAGGGGGTCTAGGGACAGAATAATGAACCTAGCAGGTGGCCCTCAGCAGTCACCCAGGTGGTAAACGGATTATTTTTTTTAAATCCTTATGGAACCAGATATGGTGGTACAGGCCTATAATCCCAGCACACAGGAGGCTGAGGCAGGAGGATCACCACGAATTTGAGGCCAGCCTGGGCTACAGAGCGAGTTCAAGGCCAACCTGAACCACATATTGAGACCCTATCTCAATCCCTCCCCCTAAGTCCCCATGGATTTGGGGAAATTCAAAGCCTGAGGCAGTGATCTAGAGAAGGCTACTGCACAGGAGGGTAATGAGGGAATCGGCTCCCCACACTTGGGCTGTGAGGTCAGGTCCTCAGGAGGACGCATGCGCAGCCACTTCCCATGTTGGCATTCCGGGTGGGGGCAGGCTGGAGCCCTCGACAGGAATGCCAACAAGCCAGATTTATGGACCCGGAAAGCATCGTTACAGGAAAACACAAGACATTTTTCTTCCATTTGGGTCCTGAAAGTATGTGGTGCTGGCCCCCTTTGAGCGTATGTGCTGTACCATCTAAAACCACCAAACAAGTTTCTCTCCAGCTAGGGCTCCTCAGAGGCAACAGGAGACAGAGGTGGTGGGAGCCAGCGTCCTCGTGCTGTGCTCTGCCACTTCCATGTCCAGCGTTCAGACCCAGCACACAGACCTACAGGGCAGGTAACGACTGATCTCCCCTACAGCCGCCTTCAGAACACACCCAGGGCTTGGCCTTCCCGCCACTGCAGGCCTTGGCTCCTAGGGAGGTCTGTCTGCTTATAGTGCCTGCCAGTGCAAGGTGGTGGGTCCAGCCGAAGCTGGGGGCCTGGGGTGCAGTGAATCCACAGGTGATGTGCCAGGTCCCCGCTCCCTGGCCTTCTGTGGACCCTGGACTTTGCAGCTTGTCTGGAGCCATCTCCCATCTGCCATGATTCCACATCCTCAGGAAGGTGGGCTGCAGAAAAGGTGCTGGGGTGGGGTCAGGCTGATCCCTGGGCGGCACTAAATCAGATCCTGGGGGCTGTGGATATAGCGCCATGTAGAGTGCTTGCCTCGAACACACAAGGCCTGAGCTGCCATCCCCAGCACCACACACACACACACACACACACACACACACACACATTTCTGTTCCTGAATGTTCTAAAATCCCATTTCTGAATATAAAACAACTTAAAGACAAAGAGACATAGATGAACTGTGGCTCCTCGGCAGGGCATCATGTTTTTTGAGACAGGGTCTCACTCTGTAGTAGGCTGTCCTTGAACTCATTATGCAGCCCAGGCTGGCCTTGAATTTGAGATCTTCCTGCCTTAACTTCCTGAACGCCGGGATTACAAGACTGTGCCACATTCGGCCAGTTCTGAACGGATTTAGACGCGAGAGACAGAGCATTGCAGGGTCTTCCCTGTGCAAAGGAAAAGCCCTTCTAGGCCAGGCTGTGCTTCTCCTGGTCTCCAGGCTCGGTGAAGTCAGAAATCACGGCTGTCTCTTGTCCTCCATTGGCTGCAGGTTCAGAAATCCCTCAGATCAACAGTGCTACTACAACCCTCACTTTAATCACTGAACACAACACAACTGCCCAGGACAGCACATAAAACCCTTCTGTAGTTTGTCTGTGAACCCAGCTGCTCCCAATGGAGCTTCAGAAGCTTTGACTCTGACATTTTCTGAAGAGAACTGGAGATACTCTAAAGGTGGGGAGATACATTCAAGTCCTCTCTTTGCTTTGGAACCCAGGGCTGGCACATGTTGGGCTTTTCTGAGGGGCTTCTGAGCTATGGTCAATGCTGCCCTTCTGCTCGTTGGCTGGAGAGAGATACAGTGGACCCTGGAGCTATGACCCACCTCACCTGTTCAGGTTATGACTGGACTTTCAGCTTTAACTTACAACCAAAGTTTTGACTTATGTCCTGAATGCTGGTCTTTTGTGCTTCCAGATGGTCTCAGATACAGACTGGACCCTCAAAGAGCTCTGGAATGAACATTACAACACCCTTTCCTATGTGGGGTTAACTGAGAAGTCCTGGGCCAACGTCTCTGTAGGGATGCTGGGACCCACCTGTACAGAGAGGCTTTGAAGGCTGTACAGAGGAGCCTGAGCCATCCATCAACAACTTGATATACAACCAGCCCTTGGGAATGCACTGAGCTTATAAGTCAAGGGTCCACTGTGCCAGCTGACCCAGCTGAGTGCAGAAGGGCGGCCACCCAGCCCACCCCGGGAACCCCTGTCTGCTAAGGTTTACCCTAAAGGTCTCTGTGCTGTGATGTCAGAGTCAGCAGCGGGCTTTTGAATGTTTTCTTTAAGGCCTCTGCACTGAGCTACATCCCTCAGCCCTTTTCTTATGTCTTACGTTGAGACAGAATCTTGCTAAGTTGCCCAGGCTGGGATCTAACTTGTGATCCTTCTGCCCTAGCCTCCCAGAGTGTTGCGATTATAGGCAAAAGCCACCATGCCAGGTTAACTTTTTTAAATGTGTGAAAATATATTAAGAAAGCATGACAAAGTTGTAAATTTAACCTACTTTGTTTACCTGAAGGTCCTCACTTACCTATATAAGTATATTTTGTTAAACCATCTTAAGACAAACTGTAGTCCTAAATACTGCAACCTGACTATGTGAAGGAAAGTGTATTCTTGCAGATGGTGTGGTACCACTGCCATCCCTAGGAAAAGCGGCAGGGGCGGGCTGTGGCTCAGAGTTGGAACGTGCTTAGTGTACTGGGGCGGGGTGGGGGGGGGAGAAAGAGGAGGGAGAGAGAGAGAGGAGACAGAAAGGGAAAGAGAGACTCCCTATCATAACCTCCTGTCCAGTTCACACTCCAACTTCCCCAACTCCCCCTAAATGTCGTTGATAGCCGCTTTTTATGCCAGGATCCAATCAAGGGCGGCTGCAGAGGACTCTTTCTAAACTGACTGTCCCACAAGAGAACAACTCCAGAGAGGCACGGAGGGTGGCACCTGACAGTAAGTTAGTACCCCACCGACTTTTTCCTTTCTTTTCTTTGGTACTGGGAATCAAACTTAGGACCTCGCACTTGCCAGGAAGGCGCTGTGCCACTGAGCTATATCCTCAGCTACTTCTTCCTTTTAAAACAGGGAGGAATTTCTATAATTTGATCACAAATGCTGACTACTGCTCACGTTCCCAAGCATGTTACTCAAGCTTACTTTGTGTTTTGTGAACTACTCATGTGTAGTTACAAAGGAGTGGTCGTGCTGCAGACCCAACCTGCTGCACCTGCTTCTGGCGAGTGAGGGGAGGCACTGGCCAGGGCCTGCGTGAGTCACCTGCGGCCTGCGGCCAGGCTGCTAACTGCTCACGCAGAGAAACCACCTGGGTCCAGCAGCACCAGGGCTGCTCCAGCCCACTGCTTCCTCCTCAGGGCTGAGACCAACAAGAGCCCCTGAAAGGCAGGAGGGGTAGGAAAGGCTGCTGCCCATACCACGGCCACCCAGGGTGGGCGGGCAGCAGATTCTCTTGTAGAAGGCACCTGGAACTCTGTGGGAAAAGCTGGTTTATATTTAAAAGCCACTTATAATATTCTCTAAACCAAAAATATCACCAAAGACTCAAACTCCTAGACATTAAAACTGACTTGGAGGGCTGGGCGTGGTGGCACATGCCTGTAATCTCAGCACTCGGGAGGCAGAGGCAGGAGGATCGTTGCGAGTTCGAGGCCAGCCTGGGCTACAAAGTGAGCTCAAGGTCAGCCTGAACTGCACAGCGAGACCCTGTCTCAAAAAGACAAAAATAAAATAAAATAAAACTCTGACTTGGGATATACGCAGACACACAAATGCTGCACTGAACCGAACACCAAAGCCAAGCAGAATTCTCAACAGGCTGGGCACGGATATGGGATCAGAACCGCTTCAGTCCTCAGAGCCGCCTGCGGGTTTTCTCCACACCTCCCTACCACGGTACCCACTGACCGGAAGGAGCCTCCCAGCAGCCCCCGCTCCAGTGCGAGCCACCCGCTGACAGGAGGCCACCCTCGCCACTTCTTCCTGGAAAGGTGGCCCCAGCCTTCTTACCTGGTTTCCAGGGACACACAGTGCTTTTCCTCAGGGGCTTCTGCTTCTCAACAGCATTGCCCATTCTAAAGCCAAAGGATCACAGGGCCCTTCCAAACCCTGCTGTGTTTGTCACACAGTAAATAAGGACGGAATCGTCAGCCAAAAGGGGCGTCATCTTCGGGACACCCCAAATCTCCCAGCAGCACAGCCCCGGTGCAGCCTCCTCGGAAAAACTAGAATTCTGCTCTGAATGGTCCTGCCTCTGCTGTTCAAACTCCTCAGTCCCAGGGAGGAAATGAGAAGAAAGGCTTTGTTATCGCCCTCCAGCGGGCCTCTGACGGGCTATTCCAGCAGCTCTTTCCTCAGCCCCCTGAGCTATTACTCATCCATGATGGCAGCTGCCTCAGAAAATGACCACGTTGACCCTCAGTACCACCACTGCCAGGAGAGGTGGCAGTCAGGTGACCCAGACACTGGAAGTCACCACGGCCGATTCGGAGATAGGTCACTGTAAGGCTACGTAAGGCTCCTGCTCTTAGATCACTGTGCACCACGTGCACTATGTCAGAGAAAATAGATTTCATGAACTGTGCTTTGGTACACGCAAAACCAAGCACCTTAAGGACGCTTGTCCTGAGCTGCGACTTCACGACAGACAGGATACTTCGCACACAACAGGCATTCAGCAACTCTACTGAACGAACAGGTGAGCAAGTGAGGGAATAAATGAGGGAGCAGATGAGAGTTTTCCCCTGGGCTCCCAGCCTAGCACACTGTGCAGGAATAAACCCTCCTTTCTGGCTGCCGCACAGCCCCTCTGGCTGTGCAGTTTGCCTGAGCTGGCGTTTCACCTGTACCTTCACTTCTCTGAGGACCCCACACAGCCCTGGTGTCGGCGCCTGTCTGTGGCCTTCCTCGTGGTAGAACGTGTTGCAGTTACAGGACGTGGGCTGAGGTCCTGCTCTGCCGCTTCTTAGCTGCCACAGTCCTCCACATTTCCAGGAGCCAATGCACCCCAAATCCCCAACAACTCCCTTCTGAGGGCCCTGCACCTGAACTGGGACTTCCTCAATGGGACAGCTCCGGAGAGGGCCCTGGCTCGATCCATCTCAATTGTGGTCCCACATGGTTCAAATGTGAACTGTTTGGGGTGGATGCGAAGGAGATAAACAAACTGATTCATTCCTAAGGATTCCTTGAGAACTCCCAGCTCAAGACAAGCATCATTAGGGACATCCTCAAAGGCGAATATGCTTGCAACCCAGCTGGGCAGGCTAGCCATCTCCAGTTCACTCCGAAAGAAGACAACAGCAGCCTCCAGCAGACAGAACAGAGCTAAAATGAAATGTCACCAGAAGTAGAAGGCTCCCCACACCAGCAGTGCAACACACTCCCAAGCCCTCCACAAACACTTCAGGAAGGCGGAAGATGTGCGTGCTGATGTCCATCAGACCATACCGGACCCACGCCGCCAGCCACGCCCTGAGGTCATGACAGTCGCTGCTGCCACAAGCCCCAGATCACTGACTCGGAGCCACAGGACCGAGGAGATGGGCAGAGGTCAGGGTCACCAGCCCAGCAAGGGCAGTGGGAGAAACTGGCCTCGGAGGCCGGCTGCTCAGTCTAAGTCTGGTGGCAACTTTGGGACGGAAACATCATCTCTCTGAACCTTACTTTTTCACATCTGAAAATGTGTACGGTTCTACCCTCTCCTTCCCGGGGTAACTTACGGGTGGCACACAGCACCCAGCAAAAAAGAGTACTGCTGCTGAGTCTCTCGCACCCTGGAAACTGCCGAGCCTGCATGCAATGTACTAAAAAAGATCACTCGCCCTCCTAAGTCACAGCAAGCTCTGCTGTGAAAGGAACAGTTTGCTCACAGACGTCTGCCCCACAGGAGCAACGTTCGGACTGCGAAGGTGCCAGGCAGCGGAGCACTCAACATGGGTGACAAGTGCGAAGCATCTTAGGACACCGCTCTGCTCCAGGCGGGACGCACTGGACTCAGGGTCAGAGTCTGACCTCTGCCAGGGCTGCTCACTTCTTGAGGGAGGTTTTGTCTTCAAAGATAGAGAAGGCTGGCAGGGAAGGCCAGGAGATCCCTGGGATCAGACACACAGGGACCAGGCTGCAGGCAGTGCCCAGGAGCCACCTAAGAGCCGTGTGCCTTGCCTGCAGGAGGAAAGTCTGCTGTGGTCACTTCCCTCCCGGGGAGAAAGACAACAATCCGAGGAAGCACCGAGCATTGTGGGAATGTCCCCAGTGGGGTTCCGGCTCGGCAGCTCAGGCTCAAAGGGACCTGGAGAGGGGCCTGGAGCTGCTCTTTGGGCCTGCCAGGGAGGAGCCCGTGGAGGGCTGAGGCACCTGGCACGAAGCTGTCACAGGAAATGCAAGGGTTCTCTTCTGAGATGCTGGCGTGCCCCCAGCTCAGGGTCAGGGGCCTCAGGAACCAGCTGAGCTGACACCGGCAGTGTAGGGTGAGCCCGATGACATCCACAAAACATTCCTCAGTTACCACAGATGGCGCCAACGGCGCGGGCAGGGAAGCTGGTGACCTAACCAACTGGGAGGCCGGCGGTGAGGATGAAGGATGGGCGCAGCAGGACTAAGGTGTGGAGGGAGGTGGCAAGGTGAGGCAGCCAGCGCCCTACAGGTGCCAGGGCCCTCGGTTCAGGGCCTTGGATTTTCAAGGTGTCAAAACACGCATGCACACTACTCTCGGAGAAGCACACGCCTTCACTAGTCCCAGGGAACTGCAAAGGTTAAGAACACTGAGTGTGCCAGGCATGGTGGCACACATCTGTAGTCCCAGCATGCCGGAGGCTGAGGCAGGAGGATCACTGCAAGTTCAAGACCAGCCTGGGCTACAGAGTGAGTCCAGGACCAGCCTGAACTGCACAGTGAGACCCTGTCTCAAAAAAAAAAAAAACAAAAAAAAACAAAAAAAAACCCAAAACTGAGCTCATCTGACTCATTACAAGGAAATAGGGAAACTAAGGTCCAAGGCGAGAAAATTATTTCCCCTGGGTGCCTGGAGAATGTGTCTCTGGCCCCAGCACGGCATGGGGATTTTCCACAGCCAGCCAGGGCCGTGTGTCTGCAGGCTGTGTGTTAGGCACCAGTCCTCCCTGAGCTGTGCTGGGATCCCCACAAAGCTGGCGCTCTACCAGGCGGGGTGGAGGGGCACTGCAATGAGCTGGCAGGTGCCTGCCTTTGTTCTGGGTGACCTCCCCCTTCCATAGCACGGGACTCAGAGCCTGTCCCTCCCCTGCAACTCCAAGGCCCTGAGGAGATGGCACTTGAGCCACCTGTGGCTGATGCCAGTTCATTGAAGGAAAAGGCCACTGGCACTACCTCACCGCCATTCAGCACCATGTTCAGGGAAGCTGCTCATCCATCTTTCATTCCAGAGGCAAGGTTGGGCCAGAAGCTAAATCCAGCCCTCAGGACAGGAAAGAGGGAAAGCTCACAACCCCAGAACCGAAAGGAAGATAATAACTTTTTAAAAAATCTGGGCGCAATGGCTCATGCCTAACCTTAGCTACTTGGGAGGCTGAGGCAGGAGGATGGCAAATTCAAGATCAGCCTGAGCAACTCGGTGAAACCCTGTATGCAAAATAAAATAAAGAGGGCTAGGAGTAGAATTCAGTGGCAGAGCACTTGTCTAGCATGCGCAAGTCCCTAAGTTCAATTCTCAGTAATACAAATTTATTAAAAAGTACAAAAATAGTACATTTTTGTCACTTTTTCATGATATCTGGAATACTTCGGGGAATATCTAAATGATTTCTTTTTTTTGGTGATAGTGGGGATGGAACCCAGGGCCTTTGCACTGAGCTACATCTCCAGCCCTTTTGTTTTATTTACTTTGAGACAGGGTCTCACTAGGTCATTAAGTGGGCCAGGAGGCTAGGCTAGAACTTGTCATCTTCCTGCCTCAGCCTCCTAGAATGCTGGGATTTGAGCCTGCAACACCAAGCCTAGCTATATGAACTCTTGGTGTTTCCTGGAACATTTTCGAGGAAGTCTCTCCTGCCTCCACTGGCATTGAGGCCTTTGCAGCCTGGTCCCTAAGCAACCCTGCCACCTTCTCCTCCCCCTCCGCTCAAATGGACCTGCTCTGCCTGTCTTCTGGATGTGTGGGAGGCCCCTACCCTCCAGATGATGGACGACACCTACAGCCTACTTTCAATGCAAACTTCAGGGCTCCCACAGTCTGCCTCCTGCAAGAGCCCTGCTGGGAAAGGCTCCCACTGCCGCTGCAGGCTCAGAACCCGGCCTGCAGACCCCACGGGCCCTCCCCCTCACCACGTGTCCCCTCCAGAGTTGTCAGGCCCAGGGTCATGGCTGATGGCACAGGAGTGACTGGCAGGCATTTCCCCAGGGCTTGGACCGCGGGCACTGTGTGCGCACAGCAATCAGTGCTGTGTTGGGAACAGCAGGGTGAGGGATGCAGTGTGACGGAGTGCTACTGCAGACCCTGGGGACCGGAAGGGGCAGCCAGCATCCCGCACACAGGACCAAAGACGCCCCTGCAATGCCCAGCCCTAGCCAACCCAATGCATCAACAGGAAACTGCGTCAAAGGCCCTGAGGCAGGAGTGCACTTGGTGGGCCAGCACACAGCCTGCCCGGTGGCTGCCAGCTCAGGGCCACAGCTGTGAGAAGACTGTGCAGCTTCTGAAATGTGACGGGCATCCCACACACCTCCAAGCTGGGCAGCCTCATGGAATTCACCCTGACTGCTGAATGGTGGTTATTGGGGTGCTCAGCGCCCGGAGGCAGGGCACACTGCTGCGAGGGAGGAGTCAAGGGTGACTCCAAGGAGACTCAAGAGGACTCACCAGGCAGAGTGAGGTGCAGAACCAAGCACCCCACTCTAGGTGCACAGAGCCCACATGCTTGCAGATATCTGCAAAGGTCTGAACGTGTGTCCACCGCCACTCACACTGAAGCCACACGCCACAGCAGCCTATGAGGGGTGGGGCCTGTGGCAGCTATTACGTCGGGAGGGCAGGGCTTTCATGGGTGGCATTAGTGCCATTTTCATTTATTACTTTCTTGCTATGTAGTCCAGGCTGGCCTGGAACGTATGGCCATCCTCCTGCCTCAGCCTGCTGAATGATGGGATGACAGGAGTGTGCCATCATGCCTGGCATTAGCGCCCTTATCAAAGAAGCCAAAGAGGCACACTGGGTTCCTTCCACCATGCAATGAAACAGCGGACAACAG